GAAGGGAGAGGGGAGAGGGAAAGGAAAAAAGGGACAAGAGAAAATGGAAGCAAAGCTTTTGTAGACAAGGAGGGGAAGAGGGGTTGAAGGGTGGGAAAGGGAATAGGAAAAAAAAAAGAAGAAGGAAGAGGTGTCACGTACATGTACAAATTCCTTATGGTGAATGTTATCATTATGTGTATCTAAACTGTATGTATAAAAGAAAAAAGAAAAAAGAAAAAAAAAAGGCCACCTAGAGAATTTGATTTGGGTCACAGTGCTGAGCCAGCCAGGCACTCAGAGGCCTCTGTAGCCATGATTCAAAAGGGTCTGGCTACTACTCTAGCCAGAAAGACCTTGACATCATCCATATGATACTGGTTTTATGGGCACCCAGAGGTATGGGGTCATGGAGGTTCCACCTAGATTTCAGAAGGCCTAGGAAGCCAGGAAGTGTGCCCTTGAGAGGGAAGTGTGTGAAGCTCTGAAAGTGAAGCCAAAAGTGCAGTGGAGACCCCAGGAAGTTGGAGAAGTCAGTAGTGTGGAACTTCTGAGGAAAGCTACAAAGAGTGAACAAAGCCAACCCAACAGAAAAGCTGCAAGGGCTACAACCACTGGCAATGCCTTAGGGGTGCAGACACCCAAGTCGGAGTTTGTGTCTCACTGCAACTTGCCCTGGGTGCTGGATGCAGAGGTACAGGATTTCATGTTTACCCTGCTAGATTTCAGTCTTGCTTTGGTCTCATTGGTTTCTAGCCCCCTTTTGCTCCCTTTTAGAATGGGAATGTTTATCCTGTACCACTGTATGTCAATAGGGTTTGACTTTTTTTTTTTTAAACACACCCTCACAGTTCAGAGTTTGCCTTGAGTCTGAGAGGAGATTTTGAACTTAGACTTTTTAGCAATGCTGGAACTGTTAGGACTTTGACACCTCTTACAGATGGACTAAATGCATTTTGTACAAAGAGATGTGCATGAGTCTTTTGGGGGACAGGGGTGGAATGTTAGGGTTTAGATCTAAAATGTCCCCCAAAGCTTCATGCACTCCTATGTGGGGCTTTTGGGAGGTTAATGGACCATGGGTGTGGTATAGCTGACTTGCTGTTAGGAGGTCATATCTGGTGGGGAAAGGTGGGGCACTGGGGGCATGGCCTGGACTAGTTTATTTCCCTTCCCAGCTCCTCTCTTGATCTCTCTGCTTCCTGTCCCCCATGCAGTGAGCAACTCTCCTCTCCCATGCCATTCTGCCATACAGTCCTGCCTTGGAGCCAGCAGACTATGGATTGAAATATTTATTAACTGTGAGCCAAAATAAACTTCTCTTCCTTTAAATTGAAGGTGTCAGGCATTGTGTCTGAGTGACTGAAACAGAAAGAGACAGAGGGACGCAAAGGGAGTGTCTTACTCACTTTTCTCATTGCTGAGACAACATATCCAACACCCAAAGTTAAAGGGGGAAAGGTTTATTTAGCTCACAGTTTGCAGAGGTTTCAGTCTTTAATCAGCTGGCTCCAAGGTAGGGTGGCATGGCAGACAGGCTTCGCAGAGGAGAAATAGTTCATGGCAGGCAAAAGGTAGCAAAATAAGCAAGAAATGACCACAGCTCTTTCTATCCCTTATATCTTATCCAGACTTCTTAGGGTGGGTAGTACTCACACCCTTAATCCTAGTGCCCTTGAGCCTAGCACTGCACCAGGAATCAATCCCAGTGTCACACATTCTAGATCAAGCCACCTCTGAAAAAGCCCCACCTATGGCTGCATAAGGCTTTAGGGAGACATCTAGATACAAGCCATAACAGGGAGGGAGGGATGGAGGGAGAGAGAGAGGGAGAGACAAAAGAGAGAGACTCACTAACTATAGTTTTCTTTGTATAACTTTCTCTCCAAACACCAGTACCAAATACCAACTCCCTGCCTACATGGGTCCCAACTCTGAGAAAACCTATACACATCCTCATTGTGCCCAACTGTTTTACCCCCTATCACAATGGGGAATTTATAGGGGCTTGCTGATAATCAATAGCTCTTCAAAGAGTTTCTGTAAATCTCTGATTTCAAACAAATCTATTTTAATCAGCTCTCCACAAAAATAGCCCATATGTTGGGCTGGGGATTTAGCTCAGTGGTGCCACTGCCTGGCTCGCAAGCACAAGGTCCTGAGTTTGATCCCCGGTACCAAAAAAAAAAAACAAACAAAAAACCCATATCCTTGTACAGCAAATGCAAAGCCTTGGATTTTATCTCTAGTATCATTCTTTAAAAATGAGGGCACTCAATGGTACTCCCAGTAGAAAGTAACACAGAAATGCCTGGCCTGGTTCTAGCCAGAGAAAGGGTCTTATCTGTGTTATACAGACTCCATGAAGAATAAAGATACCAGCACTTCCTGCAACAGATAAGACAGAAACCCAGATGGTTTGGGCCCAAACTTGTGACAAGCTCCACTTGGTAGCACAATATCCACTCTCATGCATGGACACTGTATTAGAGTTCTTGAGGAAAGCAGAACCAGCAGGTAGGAGAGGGGTAATTTTAAGGAATTGGCCCACAGAATCCTGGGGATTGGCAAATCCAAGATTTGCATGACAGGCAAGCAGGGTAGAAATTCAGATAATTGTTGATGTTACAGTTTGGAATTCAAAATCTTTAAGACAGGCTAACAGGCTGGAAAGTCAGGCAGAGTTTCTATGTTGCAGCCTCGAGGCAGAACTGAATCTTCTCCCAGGAAACCTCAGTCCTCAGGTCTTCAACTAATTGAATGAACACCTACTTGATCATAATCTGTTTTACTTAAATTCAATTAGTTACCAATGTTGTACATAGGGAGCGGAAGAGGCTTGAGGGGATGGAATAAAATAAAATACAAGTTTAAAAAATGCAAACACCAACCTTCACACTGAAAAAAAGTTCTATTCTGTCACAATTTTTAAAAAATAAATAAATATATTAATTACATTACCTTCTTAGCAAACTCTAGTGTTTCACCAAACAACTGGGCAACATAGCCCAGCCAAGCTAACATACAGAATTATCGCCACAGCCACCTCCCAGCCTAAAGGGCCTCCTGGACCCACTCCCCGGACCATCTTTCCTTCTGCTATTGAGTTCCAGGAAGTTAGCAGGCTAAGGATGCACTCTACCACTGAGCTATATTCCCAGCCTACTATTCTTTTTTCTGTGTTTGATTTTTCTTCATCATAGATTTTTTTGCATTAATTTTGATTTTAAAATATTGCATTAGCCAGGTGTGGTGGTGCATGACCATAATCTCAGCACTCTAGGAGCTTGAGGCAGGAGGATCACAAGTTTGAGCCCAGCCTGGGTATTTTGTCAATTTAGCAAGACCCTGTCTCAAAATAGAAATTAAAAAATAGCAGGAGCTGGGGGTGTAGCTCAGTGCAAAGACCCTGTATTCAATCATCAGTACTGTAAACAAAATTAATTAAAATTTACAATTACATTAAAGTATTTGTATCTGAATTACTGAGTATTTTAGGGCCCCTTTAAATTTTGCACACAAGACAAAAATCTCATTTCCTTCATCCCAGCCTCGGCCCTGGCCAATCATAACCCTTTTTATATTTATCAGCCCACTTCCCCTACGGCTTATCTATCTTTGTATCTTTGTATCCTGCTAGCAAATTGCCAGCTTTAATTGAAGGAAGGAATGAAGAAAGCAAAGAAGGAAAATAGCTAATAGTAATGATTAACATTCTAATACTTAGGGCTTATTGTGTACCAGGTAGTGGGTTAAGCACTTTGCTTATCTAATAAACTAATAATAATAATAATAATGTACCCATTTTACAGATGAGGAAATTGAAATGCACAGAGGTGAGTAAACTGCAATGCATGAGTGACTATAGCAGAACTGGGAGCAGCTCTTTCTGGATTCCTAAAATACCTCTTGCTTACTGTTTCTCTTCTGGGTGCTGGAATAAGCTGAGAAGGAGGAAGCATGAATACAGGAAGAGGTAGAGAGAATGTAGAAGAACAGAACCATCACACTTTCACATCCAGTTATCTCACTTGAGCTTTGCAGCTATTTGAGGAGAGGGGTAATGACAACAGTGGGTGTGGTGGCCCAGGTGGCCTCCCTCCTACACACCTGGCAAGCTCCTAGCACCCTCTGCAAACTTTCCTGATTAGTGAGGTCAGCACCTCTTTCTGGAGGGCAGGATCCCTGCTTCTTCCAGCCAGGAACTGTGTGGAAAGAAGAGATTTGACAAGAGGCCAGAGCTAACGTCACCAGGCTCTCAGATACCCTTATCTAGCTGGCTTCACCTGATCTGCCCCACCCTGTTTCCTGCTTGATGGTGGGGAAACCCCCGGAAGCACACTGAGATGCAAAATGAAATTCAGAACACCCAAAACCAGAATCTAAAATGGCCAAGAAAATTTTTTAAACATTAAATGGTCAAGAAATAAAAATAAGCTTGTGAGGAAAAAAAAAATGAAATTCACAAGATTTACTGAGAAGGGGTCATCTTAGGTCTTTGCATCTTAGGGTAATCCAGGCATATCCTGAACAAAGGCTTAGTGATACGACGAGTTTCAGTCCAGAACATACAGAGAAGATTTCTGAAGAGAGGGGCTCCACGGAGGAAGGAAATGTAGCTTTTATTCTACATTTCATTTGTGGTACTAGGGATCCACCCAGGTGTGCTGAACTACATTCCCACACATCTCCAGTCCTTTTTGAAAAAATTAATTGTTTATTGGTACATTTTAGGTATACATAATAATCACATTCATCATAGGGAGTCTGAAACTGTACCTTCGTTCTTATTTTTTCCCCATTCCCTTTTCCTCCCTTCAACCCCTGCACCCCTCCTTATTTACAAAAAAAGCTTTGTTTCAATTTTTTCCTTCTTATTTTTTTCTCTCCCTTCCTTCCCTTCCCCCTCCCCCCTCCCTTGTTCTCCTTCCCATTTGAACATTTTCTTGAACATTTCCCAATATCTACTGTACATTTTGGTCCTTATTTTCACTTTCAGTTTCCCACACCAGGGAAACAATGTGGTAGTTATGTGTGTCCTATTTATCTCACTGAAGAGTATGGTCTCAAAGTGCATCCATTTAGCTAGAAATGTCTCAAGGTTATCCTTTGTGGCAGAGTAGTACAGTACTTGATTGTATTAAAAAAAAAATCTTGGGCAGTCACCTGGGGCCGGTGGTGCAGGTGCCTCGCAGTGACCTTGCAGTGGCCCAGGTAGGGTCCCTGCGCGGGACTCAGGGCGCGAGCTCCGGCCGGTGGTTTCTGCTGGAGGACTCCGGAGGAAGGTGCGGCCCGGAGCCCCTCAAGAAGCGCCAGCAACTCACCTTCCAGAGATAACCTACACCAGCAAAGGGTAGCTTACATAGCATTTTGGCATAGCAAAATGAAATGCAAGGAACAACAGTGACATAATTGAAGGCAGCAAAATCAAAATAAAATAGGACCACTGGTTAGGAAGACTGGAGAGACTCATCTGGTCATTCCATCTAGGCCTCCTCCAAGCAACACCACTTGGCAGTCGTCAGATTGGCAGCGATGCTTCCGTGTCCTTGTACCACGAACCTGTGATGGAACTTTTTCAGATAACGTCAAGTTAAACTATAGTATGTGAATGGAAAATAAAGTGAAGCAGTGTTTTATCATGTATTTCCCAGCAGGTCTTCTTGAAATTTAAAAATATGACATCTTTTTCTTCAGACAGCTGCTCTTTTCAGAACCAGTTACATCAAACGAATCAGCCTCTAGATGCTACTTTTCTGTTGTTCTTGATCGTACTTGGGAAAATATTACTAAACATCCTCCCACTAGGAATGAGAAGAAAAAACAGCTGTCAAAATGTTATGGAATGTTTTTGTGTTTCATTAGCATTTGTTGATTTTTTATTTTTGGTAAACATTTCCATTATATCCTATTTCAGGGATTTTGTACTTTTAGGTATTAGGTTTACTAAATATCATATCTGCCTCTTTGCTCAAATTATTTCCTTTACTTATGGCTTTTTGCATTATCCAGTCTTCTTAGTATCTTGTATAGATTATTGCCTGAATTTCTCTAAACTCACCGAGCTATCATCTAAATGTCAGAAGGTGTTTTATTTCTTGGCAGTAATTTTGATTTGGATTTCAGTCCTTGCTTATGTTTTGGGAGAACCAGGTATCTACCAAAGCCTGAAGGCACAGACTATTTCTTACCAATGTCCTGTCCATGTCAGCATTCAGAGTTACTGCCTGTCACTTCCCACGATGATAATTTTATTTATGGCTTTTATAACCTCTTGGTCAGAAGTTATTACCTTGGCACAGGCTATTCAAATAACTTCCTATATGAATGAGCCTATCTTGTATTTTCCTTCTTCATCCCTCCCTAGTTACATTGTAAACTCTAAAAGAATACTCTTGCCCAAGCTCATTGTCTGTTTTCTTGGTACCTGGTTACCACTTGTACTGCTTCAGGTATTCATTCTTTTACTTAAAGTACAGATTCCTGCATATATTGAGTTGAACATTCCCTGGTTGTACTTTGTCAATAGTTTTCTCATTGCCACCATTTGTTGGTTTAATCGTCACAAGCTTTATTTAAGAAATACCTCATTACCCATAGATCCATTTGTCAACTGGAAATGCTGCTTCATTCCACTTACAATGCATAATTTTGGACAAATTGAAAGCCTATGTCAATAATAATTTGTGGTTGTTGTTGCTTGGTATCAGGGATTGAACTCAGGACCCTGCGCTTGCAAGGCAGGTGGCAGAACCACTGAGCCAAACCCCTGGCTCAATAATAATTTGTTAATATGTTGCCATCTTAAAACTAAACCAATTACAATAAAAATCATAATCTTAGAAACAGGAAAGAATGGTGACTTGGGATATACCAAAAAGTGGGACTAAACTGAAGCTCTTTTTCTCCTCTAACCTTTTATACTTTTCCAGCATACTTTTGGGATTATGATATAGTTTATTAAATGTTTTCTTTTAAAAACAAAATAATGCCAAGAAGTTCTTATGCCTATTCAGGACTACTGTATAAATAAATTTGTTATTAATACAAAAGTGAAATACGTTAACATTTGACCATACTGATGTATTTGTTGCCAAAAAAAACTGGACACAAAATGTTATATAAATCTGAGATTTCAACAATTTTAAAATATGAATTTAAACATTTTATCATATTTAAAAAATAAAAACCATTTTCTTAAAAAAATCTTTATTCATTCATTGGTTGATGGGCATTCTGGCTGCTTTCAAGATTTAGCTAGCACAGATTGTGCCACTGTAAACATGGTGTGTATATATTGCTGTGGTATAATGCTTTTAATTCTTTCAGGAAGATAACAAGGAGGGGAATAGCTAGGTCAAATGGAACCTCTAGTTTTAGCTCTTTAAGAAATCTCCACACTGATTTCTACAGTGGTTGCACCAGTCTACACTGCCACCAACAGTGGAAAAAGGATTCCTTTTCCCCTATAGCCCCCCTAGTATTTGTTATTGGTTGATTTCTTGATAACAGACATTCTTTCTGGAGTGGATGGAGTCTCAGCTTTTAATTTGCATCTCTCGAATGACCAGTAATGTTCAACATTTTTTTCATATATTTATTTGCTGTTTCTACTTCTTTATCTGAGAAGTGTCTATGCATTTCAGATGCCTATTTTTGGATTGACTTTTTAAAATTGGGGGGGTCTGATTTTTTTGAGTTCTTTATATATTCTAGATAGTAGTCCTTTGTCTGACCCAGTCCTTTTTTTTTGGTACCGGGGATCGAACTCAGGTCCTTGCACTTGCGCAGCAGGCGGCAAAACCACTGAGCTAAATCCCCAGCCCTTGACCCAGTCCTTTTAATCTTGACGGGTCTCATTAAATTGCCCAGGCTGACCTTGAACTTGTGATCCTCCTGTCTTGGCTTCCACAAAGCTGGGATTACAGGTATGTTCCACCATGCCTGGCTTTTTTTTTTTAACCATGTGTATATAAATTGGGCATGGTGGTACACTCTGCAGGCTGAGGCAAGAGGATCACCATGAGTTCGAGGCCAGCCTGGGCTACACAGTGGGTTCAAGGCCAGCCTGAACTACATAGTGAGACCCTGTCTCAAAAAAACAAAAAATAAAATAAAATGTGCATATCTTACTTTTTCATTTAGAGAAAACTCCCCCCACCCCGGGGATTGACCCCAGGGCCTCGCACATGCTAGAAAAGCACTCACTCTCTACTGAGTTACACCCCAAGCCCAAGAAAACATTATTTAAAGTAGCCTGCCAGGAATGGAAGCCAAGGTGCCAGTCTCTAGTCTGTGGTGTCTCCTGTCCAGACCTTTCTGGAGCAGAGTGGAGAAAGCCTGAACCATCCTTCCTGCTAGAAAAGAACACCTCCGTGCACGACACATAAGGGGTAGTTTTACTGCGTGTGCCTTCCAATTTGACAACTCATCTTTCTGAAGACTCAAAGTCATGTTTAAAACCAGATCAGTGCTCCCTTTGGCAGCACTGTAGTAAAACCAGCTGAAGAAAAATGGACTGATTGGCTTCTGGAATGTTAAGCACCCGTCGCAGACTGATGCCACTTCTTGGGAAGCTGTGCACCATCTCTCAGGAGCTCCAGTGTGCTCTTGAAAGAACTGAGGCTACTCACCTCAAGTCAGGTTAGGTCCTGACTATGGATCACATGTCTGAGGGTCAAACCATACAGGAAGCATCTAGTTCCCAAGAAAAGAGAACTGAGGGGCAGTGTTCCATGGTCTTTAGCAGGAAATGCCTTTGTCCTGGAAAAAAGAGCCATTGAGTAAGGCAAGTCACATGAACAGGTACAGCTGGAACAGTGTGTTAGGATGGCCCAAGAGTCTGTAAAAGGGCTAAAGAGGAAAACTGAGGAAGCTCAGTAGAAAATATCTCTTCAGAAGCTTAAACCTCCTCCTAGTCTCCAGTGTGAAAGGGAGTTGGTGGAAGGAGAGCAGATTCCTTGGCTGCTTAAAATTGGAGAGATGGGTGACCATGCCAAGAGTGAGCAACGCTTCCCTTTGCACTCCTGAGGGAATGTCGACCTTCCCTGTCCTCTTCTAGTGTAGCTGGGCAAACCTTTCTTCCAACATTCTGCTGGCCTTCTCTCTAGACTCCCTCACACAACATCTTCTCTGGCCTCCTTATGAATAGTTCAGCTCTACCATGAGGTCCCAGATTAGAAGATAATATCATTTTCATTCAACTGTTAATCCTCCAATGGCTCCCCCAACCCTTTCCAGTCACTTCTCCAAGACCAAGGACCCACAAGATTACATCACAAAATCACAGGGCTGGAGAGGGCCATGAGCGGCCATGGGTGCTGGTAATTACAATTACCTAGATTGTAATTCTAGCTCCACCACTACTTGTTCAATGATTCTCAAAGTTGAATGTGCACCAAAATCACCAGGAAGACTTTATTTTTGCAGCACTGGGGATTGAATCCAAGGCCTCTGCATTGACCTAAATCCCCAGCCCCTACACGCACACACACACACACACACACACACACACATACACGTATATATAAATTAATCTGGGTATGATGGCCCACGCCTGTAATAACAGCCCTGGAGGCTGAGGCAAGATTGCCCCAAATTCAAGGCCAGCCTAGGCTACATAGCAAGACCTTGTTTTTTAAAAAACATTTTTTTCCCTTAAATCATACAGGCGGGCTCAATCTTCTGATCCTCCTGCCTCAGCATCACAAAGTGCTGAAATGACAGGTATGCTCTACCACACCAAGCTCAACAAGAAGACTTTTAAAACTCAAATTGCTGGGCTCCACCCTAGAGTCTGAGGTTATCTCTGTACATCCATCTGCTGTGGGTCCTGGCGTCTACATTTCTAACACTCTCCCGAGTGCTGCTGTTAGTGCGGGTCCGGGAAGCCACACTGAGAAACACTGCAGCCGCGGGATGGGCGCCCCCCGCGTGTACTCCGACTAACGGTAAGTACCTGGTGGAGCTGAGGTTTCCTGAAACCTGGCACTTGGAGCCCTAAACACTGTTCGAGGCACGCGAGGTTAAAACCACTCTTGTTGCGTGGGGGAAGGGAGTCGTCGGCCAAGGCCTGCCTGCGAAGGAGCTCAAACTCGGGACGAGCCTGGGGCCTCGCACGCCCGGCCGCGCAGGTCAACCGGGCGCGGAGCCACGCTGTCCGCCGGGCTGCCCGCGCCGCCGGCGGCTCTGCTCCTGCTCGGCCCCGTGGGGCGACCAGGGCCCTCCGCTCCGTTTCAGCGCTGAAGTCCCGCACCCCGGGGTGGAGTGAGGTCTGGAAACGCCGGCCGCTCCCCGCCTGCACCTGGCCCGGGAGGCTCGGGCGCGCCGCAGAACCCGCCCCGGCCCCGCCCTCCCGGCCGCCCCGTCGGGAAATCCGCGAGCGGGCAGCGGGAGCTCGGCCTCGGGGATCCTCGGGCACCAGGTAAGCGGCAGAAGGAGCCGGCGACCTTGCTCCCGGCCTCCTCGGAGCCTGGAGTTCTCGGCCTCCTCGGGACTCCTCTCCAGTCGGGCTCGCTCCTCCTCCCCCTCCTCCCTGACCGCCCCTACGGTAAAGTAAAGGGGCTGGGCCAGCCTGCCCGTCCTTTCTTCGCTCTTCGCGGTCGCTGTGAGCCGTGCCTCCTCCCTCGCTACGACCCCTTCATTGTTCCGCTCGAGGAGCTGAGGGTTGAGCCAGGAGCCCAGACCTTGGAACTTGGAGGGAGGGGAGACGCCATAGCACCCCCTCCAGGGCTCTCCGCCCTCTTTACCCACCCAGGGCCCCACTTTCCTTCTGCACATCTCCCCAGTTTGGGCCATCCCTTGTGCTACGTGCAGAAAGTCAGAGGTTTCCTCCAGCCGGTGCCACTTCTCGCCTGAGCAGAAGGGGCAAGCAAGGAGAGACTTCGCTTGTGGGAGTAACTTAGAGCCCAGCCTGGTTGACCAGTCCCGAATGCTTGGGCCTTTTGGGGGTAGGGAGGCGGTTGTGTGGTACTGTGTGGGAGGGGGTCTAATGGGTGTACATGGCTGTGACTGTCACCAACTTCCTGGTTTTTTTGGTCACTTGTTCCAAGCCTCACTCTGACCGAAAGGAAAAACAGCTTGTTACTTGCCCCCAGGACCAGTCATCCTAGACCCAGACCTCTGCAGAGTGCAGGGCTCTCCTGTTGGTGTGTGGGGGGGTGGTGGTAATCAGTTGGCTCGCAAAGCTCAGAACAGACTCCACTACAATAGGAGCTCATTGCAGCAGTAACCCAGCTGTGTCGCTTACCCAGGAACTTACAAGTGCGATTTATGGGCATTGGGTAAGGTTAATAACTCTGGACATGCCAGAAAGCCTCGAGATTATGCTTATTTTACCCAAAAGCTGTGTGCACTATGCAGGCCCTATTCTCTGCTGAGGGTTGAGCTGTATTCCTCCTGCCCATCAGAGGAAGGGCTAGATGGATGAGACAGGCAAATTCATATAATGACTAGAACAAGGTAAGGTGAGGGCTTTGAAATATACTTTCACACAGATTATCTAGCAATAGCCAGCATATTGCAGGGATTTAACAGCTCCATATCCTCAATGATGCTGTGCATTTTAGGAACCCACAGGTAACAGGAGAAAACTGCTTCTTGGAGCACCCAGGCAGCGTGGAGTACAGGATCATTGAAGGAAGAGGAAGTCTGGAGCTGGTGGAACCCTGAAAAGTACTGTAATAGTGAGTAATCAGGGCCCATAGTCGGCAGGACTGCTGACTCCCACCTACAGCAGCATGGAAGAGCATAGGCCTGAAAAGCTAATGTATGTCAAGTCCGCTCTGAGATCAGCAACATCTTAGCCCGAGTTCAGCTGGGAGAAACCTGGACAGGAGATGTGACCCTAGGCTGAGTCTGTGCAGTCATTTCCTACAACAGAAATCAGGGTGAGGACAGGCAGCTCACCCCAGGGCTGAGGGCTTCTCTTGCAGAGAGGCAGTGAGCGTAATGAAGGGGGGCAGGAGGCTGACTCAGCGCTGTGATTAATTTAGCAGTACGACTTTGGCCAAATCACATAAACACCCCCTGGGTGGGGAGAAAATGAGAAGGTACAGATGAAAGTGCTCTGGCAAAAGTCCAAGCACCAGACAAAGGCAAGACAATATGGTGTCATAGTTAAGAGAGAGGGCTTTGGAGAGACAGGGAGAGAGTGCAGATTCTGCCTCTGCTACTTCCTAGCCGTGGACCTTGGTCAAATTAACCTCTCTGTGCTTCAGTTTCCTTCTGTGTAAAACAGAAGATAACTACAACTTGATTTGATGTAAATAGTAATATTAAAAGTAGTGACAGAGTTGGGTGCAGACATGCACCTGTTAGTCCCAGATTCTTGGGAAGTTGAGCCCCAGGAGTTTGAATCTGTTGCCAACCTGGGCAACATAATGAGACCCTATCTTTTGTTTTTTAAAGTGATAATATTGTCCTAAACACCCTCTGGCTCCCATGGACATAATCCAACATCTCCAGCTCTGGAAGTGAAACTGTGGACCAAACTGGGTGTATATGTATGAAGAGGGACATGTGAATGGCTGTGCCAGAGCTTGGGTGAACTTGGTTCTTCATATAACCCCTGCCCCTCTCTGGGAAGGCCCAAAATGTCATTTCTCATTTGATGGGGATGAGAATGCAAATTTGAATAAACAAGAGGTCAGGTGCAGGGCAGTGCCTGTCTCTGTGTGGAGCTCAATGCTGTAATTGTGCTGTGTAAAAGGCTTGTGTGGTGAACAAGGATAGGTTCAGTCTAGGGAGAAAAGGGGCTATTAGCAGACTCTTTCATGGTACCTAAGATCCCTGTGGGGTCAGGTTATTCTCTTATACCTTGCCCAGCTTGGTACTGGGTCCTAGGCAGAGATTTGAAGGAAGGAAGAAACCCACTCCTCCCCTTCAGCTCTGTATATAATGGAAAGCAAAGGATAGACAGGCAGGAAATGGCCTAGCTGCACACCTCAGGCCAGAAGGATACTGTAGGCATAAGAGGTCAGGCTGATTTGTCAGGAGAAACTCTGGATGCAGAAGTTTGGGGACCAGAATCAAGGATCAGAAAGGAGAAGAACACAGGATTCAGGTGTCTGGACCTGTTGGTTCATCCTCCTCCTTCTGTGGGGAAGTCCCAAATGAGAAAGCATGGGAACTGAATATAACTTGGGAACAAATAAATAAACCTGGAAACTGGGGGCAGTGAGACACACCTTTGTCTAGGAAAGCTTCTTGGAAGAAAAGGATTATGAGTAAGAATTTGAAAGAACAGAAATGTGGCCTGCTTAGCCAGAAGATAAGGGCACAGCTTTGAGGGGAGACAGCCAGCCAGTACCAAGCTCCTGGTCAGGCTTTGAGGGTGAGGGCAGACAGGAAGCAGGCTGGCCAAGCTTTGGTTTCTGCCACAATCAGATAGCACCAAAGGAATATAAACCTGGCTTTCTGATTATGAAAGGGGGAGGGAGGCCTGGGGCAAGAAGGCTGTCAGGCCTAAAGATGCTGGGTGATAAGGACATAGTTGCAGATGACTAGTTTTGAGCGTAGAAAGGAAGAGGAGGATCCTGGAGGCAGGGAATGAATCAGCAGGATTTGGAGTAGACATGGGGTAAAGCCAACATTGAGAAGGCCAAGGCCATTGAGTGGGCCAGGGCCGGGCCCAGAAGCAGACGGTGGGGTTGTTTCAGGGATTTTGATGCTGCTGGCTACACTGGGGAGACTAGGGAGGCTGGCTTAGGGCCCAGGCACAGACCCTGAGCTCAGAGCGTGGTGGGTTGAGTCTCCAGTGACCCTGGGTAGAAGCTCTGCAGTCAAGAGCAGATTGTAGGGTGAGGAGAGGAGTGAAAACCCCACTTCTAGCCTCTTGCATCACCCCCTCCAATCTGGAGATTGGCCCCAACCTCACCCTGCAACCAACAGATTGTAACACTCAATTCAAATTCCTCTTTTTGACTTCTCTCAAGCCCAGCCTCGCTGTCTCCAGGGTTCCTAGGCAATTAGAGAAGCCTACCTTTTTCCCACTTGGGACCTTTCTTCATCCCTTGAGATAAACACCCCTACTTGGCAGAGCCTAGAGACCCTCCAGGGAAAAGCCTGTGAACTGTTGAGCTTCCCATTTGGCCACCTATTGTTTTGATTTTCAGTGGCTTTTGCTTAGTATAAGTCAACACAGATTTAGTGAGCACCTACTATTTTGCCAAGCATTAATCTGGGTATACAGTGGTGAACAAATTAGGGTTGGGTTTTTCTATTGAAAATTCATGTTCAGATAACTTCAGTTTAACATCTTATGTAAACATAAATGAATCTAGATATGCTGGGGGAAATTTTCTTTCTTGGTGTTTTTAAGACAGGGTCTCACTATGTAGTTCAGGCTAGCCTTGAACTCACCATCCTTCTGCCTCAGCCTCCCAAGTGCTGGGATCACAGGCGTGTACCACCATGCCCAGCCTGGGGGAAATTTTCAGTAGACTGGCTACAAAAATAACTTTCGGTGCATCTTCTGGGAAAATAAGCTACAATATCGCACGTTTGGTCTGGGGGGGAAGCCAAAGTGTCTGGAAGGTGTGATTTAGGGGGAAAGTGAAAATCTCCCAGCCTTCTAAGGTCGAAAGGATCACAGATGAGAGATAAGCTTTTTGAGAGATAACTTGCTCCTTCTTACACAAGACTATGGAGGACAGGAAGCAAGCACTGTATCTGATGCAGAGAAAGTGGAAGAAAAAACAACCATTTGGCAAAAGAATGTCGCAGTCCCCTCTCCCACCAGGAGCTTGAACTAACCTGTTCCCTCCCCAGCACTGTGTCCTGCACCACGCCCTTCTGCCCTCAGGGAGAGTGGTGACAGTCTCACTTTGTTTTCCCAGGAGACCTTGAGCTCCAGTCTGAGTAACTTGAGCAAACATCCCTGTGGTGATGGCGGTGACAGTTTGCTTCCTGGCTGCCACATGTCTCCCCAAGGTGAGCAGCTCATTTGATAAACAGGAAGAAACTTTGTTACAAAGACTCTAGGGCCAACTGGCCAGCAAGGGTGTGTTCTAGGTGGCTGACCCTGGCTTTCACAAAGTAGAAGGCTTTGCCTGTGACTTCTCAGTTTCCAAATGTTTAAAGCATCTGAGTCCCTGGATGGGAGCTGGGAGGAGAGCAGATGGCATCACGGGGATCTGGGGAAGCTCAGGAGAGCACAGTCCCCTCGTGACAGCCAAGGGGAAGAGGAAGCACGTAGGGCAGTGGCTTTGAGTTGGGAAACAGTTCTGTTCCTGGGAGCTACTAGCTGTGTGTCACCAGTGAAGTCACCTAACCAAGCTAGCCTCACCCATAAAATGAGGGAACTGTACACAGAACTAGTCAGGACAGCAAGCTAATGTGTAACAGCAGAACATAACTCAGATACTTGTTGTAGCAAGTGCGTGGTACTGCCTGTATTCCCAGCACGTAGGATGCTGAGACAGGAAAATCATAAGTTCAAGATCAGCCTGGGCTAATTAGTGAGCAACTGTCTCAAAAAATGATAAAACATTGTTTAGTGAAGCCAGTGTTTAATGTTTAACCCTGTAGGATCATTTCATTTAACAAGAGTTTATGGAACACCTACTATGTACAAAATGTATGCCAGACTTTGCAAGTGATAAAGAGTGAAGTGCAATGGCCTTTTAGGTTCAGGGTTCAGGTCCTAGGAGAGGAAGAGATGCCTCTGACCCAAGGCAGCTTGCCCTAAGGCCAGAGTTCAAGCAAGACGGCTGGAGGTATGGCTCCATGGCAAAATACCTGCCTAGAATGCACAAGGCCCTGGCTTTGGTCCTCAGCACTGGAAAAACAAAACAGAACAAAACAGAAGGCTAAAGGGGGCGGGGTAATTCTGCTGGGAGATCTGAGAAGGCTTCCTGGAGGAGGCTAGGATAGAAAATAGAGGGATTAGCCTATATCGCTGGCTTTTTAACTTCAATGACTGGAAAAGAAGATATTTTAGGGGTCGGGGATTTAGCTCAGTGGTTCGGTCACCTGCCTTATAAGCGCAAGGTCCCGAGTTTGATCCCCAGTACCAAAAAAAGAAGAAGAGGGCTGGGGATTTAGCTCAGTGGTTTCGCCGCCTGCTGTGCAAGCACAAGGACCTGAGTTCGATCTCTGGTACCAAAAACGAAACAGAAGAAGAAGAAGGAAGAAGAAGGAAGAGGAAGAAGGAAGAAGGAAGAAGAAAGAAGAAGAAGGAGGAGGAGGAGGAGGAGGAAGAAGAAGAGGAAATTTTAAACAGTGTATCAGAGCCAGGTGTGGTGGCACATGCCTGTGATTCCAGCACTTGGGAGGCTGAGGCAGGAGGATTGCTTGATTGCTGGGCTACATAGTGAGTTCAAGGCCAGCCTGAACTACGTAGCAAGACCTTGTCTCAAAAAACCTCCCCCCCCAAAAAAGGAAGGCATATCAGGACACGTATGTGACATTGTATCCTAAAAGTCTTAGCTGGGGGTGTATCAGTGGTGCCTCCCCTGCCTGGCGAGCGTAAGGTCCTGAGTTTCAATCCCTGGTACCGCGGTGGGGAGGGGGAGGTGTGTCTTAGAGCAGGTTTGTACTTTAATAGCATCAGAAGTTATACGAAGAAAGCCAAAAAAGGTGACTTGAAAATTTAATCACTTAAACTTCTTTTACTTTATTCAGTTTTATAATTTGCCCAGAGTGGCCTCAAACTTGTGACCCCCTTGCCTCAGCCTCCCAAGAACCTGAGCCTGCAGGCGTGTGCCACCACACCGGGGTAGTTTTATAAATTTTGAATAGTAAATGTTTAGTTTTAGTTTCGTATGAAGCGATGTTTGCCATCTTCAATAGATTGAAAGAAATATTAAAGTAAAAGTTGATTATTCAAAATTCAAAAGACTAAGTAAAAGAAATTTAAATAAAACTTTCCAATGATATTCTTCGTTAAATCTATAGCATTCATTATTACTGAAGTTATTAAAGTTTAAGCCTACACTAAGACTTTTGATACACTCTGTATATATAAATAATAACTAAAATGAAAATTTAATAAAATAATACTTATCCATATTACATGTGATGTACTTTGATATTTCCTTTTTCATCCTATTTTGGTCTGTTTAAGAATGTTTTTCACCAGGGATTTGGCTCAGTGGTGCTGCCGCCTGCCTCGCAAGCGCAAGGTCCTGAGTTCGATCCCCAGTACCAAAAAAGGGAATGTTTTCCATGCTGATTTGCCACACTCCAGTCATTTTACAGTACTGTATACAATGGGTGGTAGTCAGCAGTCAGATAGACCTTGGACTCTGTTCCTTGTACTAGTGAGAGAAGGTAAGTTCATGTTCTGGCTAGTGGGCTCAGAGAAGCAAGACTCATTTGTTCAATCTAGGAAGGCTTCCCAAAAGAGGATTTTCGGCATCGCTGCAACATGACAATCTGAGAGGATGGGTGGGGGAAAAAGATTGGGAACTGATGCCTAGCAACAGCCACGGGAGGGGAGTGAGTGGATGAGGCTGTGGGTGCACTTGCCAGCGGCCCTGGAGCCCAGCTGTTGGGGCCCAAAGGTGCAGGAGATAGGCAGGATGTGGGGTCCTGGGAAGCCCTGCACTTGACAGCACTATAGTAGGGGCTATTCCTAGTCCAAGCCTGGTGGCAGGGTGACCTCTCTGCCCTTATTAATCACACTTGTGGGAATCTCCTGTGCAGAGAGCAGGAATCCTTAATCCCAAAATCTGGTGGCTTCCATTGGATTACATGTCTCTTCTGTTGCCTGCAAGCTGAGCAAACAGAGTGAGTCCCCTACTGCCAAGCCTAATCATAGGTGTCTCATTTCATTTCAGGATGTGGTTAGTACCTTAAGGAACTGCAGGTCCCAGAGAGAAAGCTTTAGAAATCCAGGTTATATTGAGAGAGTAGATGACTGGGGGAGCTTGACAACCCTGATTTCCTTTCTCCAGAGGGAATAGGAGGGGCAGAGACAAACCCCACTGCAAGGGACCACAAGGCAGTGCCAAGATGAAGAAGTTGGAGTGACTTGGGTGACTCAGACAAAGAGGTCTTCCTACCGGAGGTAAGTCCTGAGCACTGACTACTGCTAGTAACTACGATGTTACCACACCTTTGTTTCTACCTGCCCTCTCTTTCTTCCTAGAGTGAGAAAATAGCAGGAAAAATGCAACCCTAGGATTCCTTGCTGCCCTGGCAGACTCCCCCATTCTGCAGCCCTCTGTCTGGACTTGGCGGTAGCACTTCCAGAGCTGCTGAGGTGTCTAGCTCAAGCAGCCTTATGCTGCCCCCAGCACAGCTCAGCCCCTGGGATAGGACAGTAACTCTGTGCTGGATCACCTTTCCTGCCTTGGAACCCTCATCAAGCTCACAGGGAACTCTACCTCTCTCCCTTGGCATTTGCCACCTGTGTTACTGTTATGTTTTAATTTTATTCACTTTTAAATAGGAAATATAGTCAGAGTTCAAAATACAAAAGGGGACTCCATAAAAGGTCTTTTTCCTGCTCCTGTCTCCTCCCAGGATGGGTGTACCTGGACCCAGTGCTATACTTCCTGTTCCCCATCAAGACTTGTAAATCCTTTAGAGAAAGGAATAGACTCCCACACCCCTTTGTGTCTTCCTGTGTCCCACCCCATCACCCAGGGGAGTTTTGCTAGCATCAGATACCCTCTCTGCCAGGGCACTGCTATCCTGACTGTCCAGCTGCCAAGCACGTCCATTTCCTAGATACCATCTACCAGATGTCATATTGCTCTTCCTAGAATGCTAGGCTCCCAGCTAATCTTTTATGACTCTTCATATCTCAGATCAGGGGCAAACTCCTCAGCATGACAAACAAAGCCCTGATAACTTGGCCTCATTAGCCACTCCAGGCCCATCTACTGCTTCTACCAGACTTCATACTCCCATCAAATCAGACTGCTCCAGTTCTCTGGTTAATCATTCTGTCTCCCACCTGTAGGCCTTTGCTGTGTGTGACTTTCTCTCTGCCTGGATTGTGCTCACCTCTTCAGGGCCGCTTACTCTCAAGTTGGTGCTCAGTCCAAGCTTCTCCCCCTGCAAAACTTCTTTGGCTTCCCCCATTGACTGAGTTTCCTGCATTCCTTCTCCTGCAACACCGGAGGGTACCTCTTCATGCTACCTTGCTGAGTAATCTCTGTTTCAAATCTGACATTATGAAAGTAACCACCTATCTCTCCCAGCCCAGAGCCAATGCTCCACATTGAGATCATGCCAACCACATTTTCCCTGAATGCAAGCAACTCCTGCCACCAGTCTGCTCCACAGGCAGGAGATTGTGGATTTAAATAACAGCATTAAATAGCTCAACTGGCGTTAAAGCAAACAGGCAAGGGGTGATGAGTGTGGTTTTGGCCAAGGACCAGATGCTTTAATATAATTGCTGGGAAGCTGAGTAGGGACTTATTAATTATAATAATAGAAATACTTGATACCATTTATTGAGGGCTCGGTAAGTGATAGGTACTCTGCTGAATATTTTACATACATTATCTGATTTAATCCTCACCACAGCCTTGTGAGTTAGGTATTTGTTACCCCCGCTTTATAGATGAAGAATCTGAGGCTTTCAGGGATTAATTGCATGTAGGTCACACATGGCTGATGATAAAAACTAGTGCTTTCTGAGAACTTACCATCCACAGAGACTGCCAAACTTTTTCCATGAACTTTTCTTTTTAAGTTAACCCTTACACCTGTCCTAGGAGGTAGGTGCTGTTATTAGAAGAGACAGAAGTGGGACTTGTGCCCATGCCTCTTGCCACCAACATCTAGTGCTTAGCCACTGAGACTCATACTTCCAGAGCTTGCCACAGAAAGTTTTGCAAACATTCATCTCTGAAGCGTGGAACACATGCTCAGAGTATAGATTGGTGATTGCCCGTGCTCTGTCTTCCCTGGAAGGTCTTATGGACTTGAATCTCAGATTTTTTAAAAGAAAATGTTTTTTCAAAAACTATGTAGAGGGCCAGGGATTTAGCTCAGTGGTTCCGCCGCCTGCCTCGCAAGCACAAGGACCCAAGTTCGATCCCCGGTACCAAAAAAAACTATGTAGATACAGAATACAGTTGGTCCATGGACAACATGAGTTTGAATTGCATGGGATTACTTTTCAACAGTTTTTAAAAACTAACAGACAAACCTCATAGCCTAGAAATACAAAAAAATTTTGGGGGGCTGGGAATGTATCTCAGCAGCACAGCGCCTGCCTGGCAAGCACAAGGCCCTGAGTTCTATTCCCGGTACCAGAAAAAAAAGAAAAAAAAAAACTTTTTTATTTTGTTTTTGCAGTACTGGGGATTGAATCTAGGGCCCTCACACTGAGTCCATTTTTTATTTTTATATCAAAACAGGATCTCACTAAGTCATACAGGCTGGGCTCAAACTTTCAATCCTCCTCCCTTAGAGTGCTGGGATTACAGGCATTGATAAAATTATGTCATGAATGCATAAAATATATGGAAATAATGATCTATCATTTACTACCATAAAATATGTACAAATCTATTATAAAATAAATAATCTAAGTTAAAATTTATCAGAATTTATGCACACAAACCTGTGCATACATGGTACCATTTGAAGTCAAGAGAAGCGTAACAAATGTAGACATGCAGTATTAAATTACAACTGGGGCCTAGGCCTGTAGCTCAGTTGTAAAGTATGTGCTTAGCAGGAGTGAGGCCCAGGGTTCAACCTCGAGCACCAAATATAAAATAAGTAAATCAATAATGCATAAGGGCTAGGGATGTGGCTCAGTGGTAGAGTGCTTGTCTAACATACCCAAGGCCCTGGATTCAATCCCTAATATTATAAAAAAATTTAAGTTGAAAAAATAATAATTGCATAGATTAACTGCAGTATATCCTGCACTGCTGTAATAATTTTATAGTCACCCCCTATTGGCTATCATGGTAAGTGTTACACCCAGTGAGAGAGAACCAACCAGAGGCCGATATTAAATCCACACAGGAGTTTATTACCGGCCGGGACCCGAGCCGAGCATCGGACTTGAGCCTCGACTGGGGGTCGACAAACATGTTTTATACACCTTTGAGGCCAACAGTTCCTAGGCCCCCCTATGGGATAGAACTAGCAAAGCAAGCAAAAGGTACAGAAGCAGAACGTCCTGCTGTTAGAACATTAGTGAAACAATAGTTGATTAATTGTTGTTGCTAAGAGACTCTCTAAGGGGAGGAGGTTTCTAAGCTTCCTCCTTCTGAGTTCCTCTAAAGGGCAGGCAGGTGGGTTAAGCAGCAATATGGAGTCTGTCCTGCTAACAAGAGTCCTTCAGTAAGTACTGTGCATATCTGCTTAAAATGGCCCATGAAACTAATCATCTCCACATGAGATGTCCATCTCTGCAGAAAATTGAGTATCACAGCAAAAAACAAATTCTCATGGTCCATGGGTATTTTTCACTATCTATAATACATATAACACAGTAAATATGTATTAGTCAGCTGTTTATGTTGTCAGTAAGGCTTCTAGTGAACAGCACACTTTCAGTAGTTAATTTGAGGGGGATTAGGAGTTAAACTTTGATTTTCAACTGTGCCTCTAACCCCCATGCTGTTCAAGGGTCAACTGTATTTATAAAATATGAGTAGTACACTGTTGAAGGTCTTAGGCCAGGACTCTGGAATATGGTGGTAGGTGCCAGCTGTTGAGTTTAAAGCCGGGGGGCGGTGGGGTTCTGCCGGTTTGAGAGAGTGGGGAATGACTCCCAGAACTGTTGTCCATGCTTGTGTGTGGACAAAGTGGCACCACGGCCTTCATCGGCACCCACTGTCATTGCTGCCCACTGTAGGGTGGGCAAGTAAGACAGTGTTGATGGGGTGCAGAGCCACTGGGAAGGCCCCTTTTCTTGAATTTTTCTCTTCTCTCCGCAGCCCCATGTTCCTTTTGGCCCACAGAAGTTTCTCTTTTAGTTTACTGTGATCAGTTATTGGCGTTTCCTTGGGGACTGAGAATTTATTTTCACCTTGGAGAAGGGAGAAAAGGGATCAGAAATGTTCTCTGAAAAGAATTAGGTCCAAAAAAGCTATGAAGTATAGTGTTGTAAAAAGAGAACAGCAGTTTTGTAGCTGTTTTTAGCCATACACTCAGGAATGGAGTACTTGCATGACTTCAGTTAGAGCTTGTGTAACCTTAATTTATTCCTCAGTTAAGGAACTGCAGTGGTCTCAGATTAGTCTTAGAAGGTTTTAGAACTACCAGTTATGATATACAGTAGATACAGACTCAGCTTCCTGTGTGACCCGAGTTGTAATCAATTTGAAGGCTTTGAGAAGCATTATACAAGTCCTTTGTAAAACTTAAGACCCATTCATTGATTCAGATAACAAGGATGTTTCGTAAATTACCTATTCTAGACAAGAACTCAACCACAGAGCTGTGCACCCAGCCCTGTAAATTACCTTTCTGAACAGTTTCCATGGGCATAAGATCCCCATTTCTGATGTATCATATTGTGTGATTACTTGAGTTTTAGTTGTTCTGTTAAAAAGTGTAATCATTTTGCATTCCTTTTTACACTGAAAAATTGTACTTTTCATTTTTGAAAATAAATACAACTATTAAAGCTTATTCTTCCTACTAATTGGGATACCTGGAATTGGGAGGGGTTGATGATTTTCTGCCTCGAACCCTCCCCCCAATGCATATCTAATTGGATTTTGAATAATTTTTTGATAAGATTTTAAAGAGTTGGTAGATTGTTTGGCATATGTGGGATTAAACAGTGTTTTGGGCCTTTTAGTATACTTTGAGTGTTAAAGAGTAGCATTGGTTTTCTTGAGTTCCAGTGTTTTAAAAAGTGAAATCACCTCAACCATTTGTTTCTATAGTGTTTTGTGCAATGAAAAGACGATCTGGAGAAGTGGCCTAGTATCACATCTAGCGCTTAAATTTCTTTACACTGGAAATAGATTTGTGAACTATGTTGCAAGCGTTTTTGGGATTTTCAAGTTGTAAATTGTACAAAACAAAGGTGGCTTTCTGGTAGAGAGTCAGCTTATCATTAGAGGGCAGTTGTGTAGTCACTATTACTTAAGAGATTTCTACTAAGTTGAAATAAACCTTAGAAATTTTCAGAGTAATTTTAATATTCAGTTGATTTTTTTTAATGAGGATTGAACTCAGTACCTTGCGCTTGCAAGGCAGGCATGGCACCACTGAGCTAAATCCCCGGCCTGATATTTTTCTTGTTATCTCCACTGTGCTACTATAAAGTATTCTCAGGGAAATAAGTGTTGCATGGACTGTGGCCACCTATCATTTCATTTTTAAAAAATTTTTTATCAGTCCATATTTGCAGTACGTGATTGCCTTCATTGTGGGGAAGTTAGTGATTGGATAGTTTTTGTTCTGTAATATGTTTTACAGGTGAAAATGGCTGTTTATTAGTCTGTGACACAGGGTGGTTTCTCTTTCACCAGCCTTCTATGCTATTAAGCATGTAGTTAACCGTCAGCTGAAAACTTTTACTCCTTGGGTGAAATATGCTATCTTTCCCAGGAAAAACTTTTGAAATCTAGTCTTGGTTCTCTGCAAACATGAATGAGATGTACCAGGAGTTAAGGTTTGAAATGCTTTTATTTTACCAAGTGTAGGCCGTATAAGCACATACTGTAATAGAATAGTCTGAAATAGTTCTTAAGGATATGAGAACAAAAATATAATGTTCAGCCCTTAAGAGGCCAAGGCAGGAGGATTGCTCTGAGTTCCAGGCCAGCCTGTACTATATATCAAGACCCTGTCTCAAAAAACCCAAAACCAGGCCAGGGATTTAGCTCAGTGGTTCTGACGCCTGCCTCTCAAGCACAAGGTCCCAAGTTCAATCCCTGGTACCAAAAAAACAAACAAACAAAAAACCCAAAACCAAATAAAGTCCATTGTTGGTTGTGAATCAGCATCATTTATTAATTATAGATACGGCAAAGAGATGAAGATGCATTATCATTTTAGGCCAGTTGGCTAATGTTGCTGGATCTCATCTGTAAAATGAGGTTAAACTCTATCTGGAGGGATGAAAACCTTTCACCATAGGAATTTTCTAAGTCCAAAAGTCATTCATACTGGAACACATTCACTGCAGTGAGACCCTGCCAGTGGTTAGTTGCTTCCTTTCAGCTTTTTTTTGGTACCAGGGATCAAACTCAGGACCTTATGCTTGTGAGGCAGGCATGGTGCCACTGAGCTAAATCCCCGGCCCTTTTTTTTTTTTGAGACAGGGCTTCACTACGTAGTTCAGGCTGGCCTTGAACTCACTATGTAGCCCAGGCTGGCACTGAACTCATGGCGACCCTCCTGCCTCAGCCTCCCGAGTGCTGGGATTACAGGTGTGTGCCGCCACACCCAGCCCACCTTTTCAGCTTCTGGTTTTTAATCTTCTTACTCTTCTTTTTTACTTGGAGACTTAATACATAATTTATGTTTTTCATCCCAGCTAACCTGTAAACCTTTCTCTTTCATTATTTTCATTGGTGGAGCCTAGCATCTTTTTTTTTTTTTTTTTAATACCCGGGATCGAACTCAGGTCCTTAGCTTGTGAGGCAGGCGGTGGAACCACTGAGCTAAATCCCTGGCTCTAGCATCAGTTTTGACCCTCAGTAAATACTTGTTGAAATAATGTAACCCTTACATCTCATTTATTTTACTTGGTGTTCATTTCATGGACTAATCTTCCTAACTAGAGTTCCTTGTCCTGTGATCCTTCCTGTTGAAGATTTTGCAGTGATTCCCTATTTATCTGATGCAGATTTCTTCTGATTTCCTGAGAAGTCCATAAACTTTCTGTAAAGGGCCAGATGGTAAATATTTTTTGTTATGTGGGTGATGGGCAGTCTCTGTTACATTGTTTGGTTGCTTTTTTTTTTTTTTTTTTTGGTTGCTTGTTTTTACCAACCCCTCCCTCTAAAATATGGGTAGGGCATAAAGAATAATAAGACCACCAGCAGGCACCATTCACTTCCAGAAAAAACACTTTAAGTGTAAGTCCCCTAATGTCCCTCTCTAAACCCATACTTTTTAAACTCTCTCTTCAGAAACTTTGGGTTTGGGTTGTTTTGTTTTGGTTTTGTTTGTTTTGTTTTGTTTGTGACTGGGTCTTGCTATGTAGTTGAGGCTGGTCTTGAACGCACTATGTAGCCCAAGCTGGATCTCGAACTCATGGTGATCTTCCTGCCTCAGCCTCCCAAATGGTGGAGTTATAGGCATGTGCCACCAGGCTTGGCTTCAGAAACTTTGGTTTTTTTGTTTCTTTAGTTTCTATGGATGGGACATGGTGCCTTCTCATATCCCCAGCCCTTTTTCCTTTTTAAAATAAAAATAAATATATATAATTTTGAGAAGGGCCTAAGTTGCTAAATTGCCCAGATTGAATCAGGCATAGTGGCTTATGCCTGTAATTCTAGCACTCCAGGAGGCCGAGGCAGGAAGATCACACGTTCAGGTTCTACATGGACAACATAGCAAGGCCCTATCTCAAAATAAAAAGTAAAAGGAGTGAGGATAAAGACCCTTGGTTAAATCCCCAGTATCACAACAAAAAGTAAAATAAAATTTAAATTTAAATTGCCCAGGCTGGGCTCAAACTTGCAACCCTCCTGCCTTTGTGCCCCAACATGCTGTGATTACAGATGTGTACTACCATGCCTGGCTCCTTTATACATTTACATTTGAATTCATAAACAATATATTGTTTAGTTTTTGTAGGTTTCAAATTTTCTGTAAATCCAGTCACATTGTATGTGTCTGTCTGCAACTTGCTTTTTCACCCAGTGTTACATCCGAGTGGTTGCATCGAGAAGTGGCTCTTTGTCATTGCTGTAGAGAACTCCATGGCATTGATATTTCATACTTTATTTATTCATTCTACTCTTTTGTTTTTGTACCAGGGATCAAACTTAGGATCAGGTGCTTGCAAGGCAGGCGTCAGTACCACTGAGCTACATCCCCAGCCCTATTCATTCTACTCTTGATCAACTTCTTTTCCAGGCTCCTGGCTCATATGCACCAGAGTTTATCAAGGATGTAAAACTATGAGTGAAGTGGCTGGTTCATGTGTTTGTTTTAGATTTTACTTACTAGCACCAAGTTGTTTCCCAAAGTGGTTATGTCAGTTAAATCTCTTCTTGTAGAGTCTCAGTGTTGCAGTGACCCTGAATCCACAAATGTCAGAGTCTTAGAACAGGAAAGAAACACCTAGTCCGGTTTCCGCAGCTTACAGAAAAAGAAAATTTAGGCACATTGACAGTGTGAAGGTGACGCCACCATTCAGAACAAAGCCTAGACCTGAGCCCCAACCCCAAGCTCCTCTCCGCCTCTGCCTTGCCTCATTTCTCCCTTATCCTTCCCTTCTCAGGCTGAGGCCCCAAGCTCTTTCTAAGGTCAGGCCCAGGACTCAGAACTGAGCCTGCTGGGATCCCCATGTTGTGGAGGATGAGGCTCCTCCGCAGACGCCATATGCCTCTGCGCCTGGCCATGGTGGCCAGCATCTTCATGCTCTACCTCTTCATCCGGCAAAAAGATGAAAGCAGCAGGGAGCAAGTCACAGAGAAACCATGGCTGAAGTCCCTGGTCGGACAGAAGGATCATGTCCTGGATCTCATGCTAGGGGCTGTGAACAACCTTAGAGATTCAATGCCCAAGCTCCAGATCAGAGCTCCAGAGGTCCAGCAGCCTCTGGACTCCATAAACCAATCTTGTCCTACTGGGTTCTACACCCAAATTGAGCTAAAGCCTTACTGGGAACGGCCACTACAGGACCCAAACAGCCCTGGGGCAGATGGGAAAGCATTTCAGAAGAGTGAGTGGACCCCCCTGGAGACCCAGGAAAAAGAAGAGGGATACAAGAAGCACTGCTTCAATGCCTTTGCCAGTGACCGGATCTCCCTGCAGAGGGCCCTGGGGCCAGACACCCGACCCCCTGAGTAAGTAGCACTCAGAGCCCCGGGGAAGGCCAGGGCTTTACCAGAATTGTGGCCAGCCAGGCTGTGGCCACAGGCCAAGTGCCAGGAACAAAGCTGAGGGGGATTTGAGAACACAGGCAAGGATTTTCTTTAAGTTTTTTTTTCTTTCACTGACCACCTGGCCTGATCATAGAGACTGCAGTTTAGGAATATTATGGATAGCCCAGAGGCCCAAGAGACCTGTGAAAGTGAAACACAGTTAGGAAGGCGACAGCATAAAAAAGGAAGTCAGGACTTGGGACCACGATCTGGCACAGGGGCACCTGGGAGGGGCTGATACCAGCCTGTGGATCCAGTGGCCTTGTCCTCTGCTGGGGTCTGCCCCACAGACTATGGACTCCCATGCCGAGCTGTTGGGAAAGGGAGCATTTCCTGATCACAGCCCTGATAGTCAGAAATATCCCCACACCACCTGTTTTTCTCCAGTGAAGCCCCCAAGGCCAGGAAGTCTTTCCAGCCTTTATTTGAAGCTGTTTATATTCTCAGCTTTGGGTAACGAAACCAGCACTTTAATCTCTAAGGTTCTTCCATCTTACTCGAAAGCTGCTACAACCAGGGCTTCTCTGACTTGGACCAAGTACACTGGTCGTAGACTAAGGAGCCACTTGGAGTTATTGGGAGCTCCTAAGCCGAGACTGGCACTGGGTGTGGGCAATGAGGAGGAAATGGGGTATCTCTTTGGAAGCTCTGTGCAGTCTTTAACCAACAGAGGAAGTGTAGAAAGGGTGTTAGGCACATAACTCCTTGAGATCCAGGATCACCACCTGAGTTTGAGGGTCTAGGTGGCAGTGTGGCCAATGCCACAGAGCGGCTGTTGGAGCGATGAGGATGGAGGAAAGACTGCAGGAAACTGACTGTGATGGTGGAGTCAGACTACAGGGAGTTGGTGAGGAAATGGACAGTGAGGAACTGTAAGTTACAAAAGAGCCTTTTCCTCACATTGAGTATGGAAATTGTAGTCACTTTTCTCAGATGTTAGATTTGCCTTTTATTACCTACCCCCTGGGACCTCTAGATTGAGTTACACTTTATGTAGTGTACATATTACAGATGAAGAGTCAACCCTGGGGACTCCTAGCCTGATAGCAGAGACCTGATGGCAGAGGGGGTGGGGAGCCTGAGCCTCACTGCCGGAGCACAAAACCAGCTCTGGATTGGGGCTTGGTGTTGAAGTAGGTTCAGTAAAACCTGTACAGAGGTTTAGAGGGGCTTGTAGGGAGTCAAAGACAGGAAGCAGCTGCTCCCAACTGCAACAGCTGTCTCAGCTTCCTCCACTGGCTGCCCACACCCCAATGCCTTCTCTGCTAGGGAGCTCCCAATAACTCCAAGTGGCTCCCGGTTCTAGGCAGTAATACTTTGGTCTAAGTCTGAGGAGCCCCAGCTGGGGTAGCATTAGATTAAGTTGGGGGCACCTTAAAAATTGAAGTGCTGGTTTCACTGCCCAAGACTGAGGCCATAAACAGCTTCAAATTAAGGTTGGAATGACCATGTAGGCTGATAGTTCAGAGGAATGGAAGATGATTTGGGGAAGCTTCAGACAGAGCTCTTCCCACACCTGGAACTCTCAGGGACCTAGGGAGCAGTGCATATACTTTTGTCTTTCCAGGTGTGTCAACCAGAAGTTCCGACGCTGTCCCTCACTGCCCGCCACCAGCGTCATCATTGTGTTCCACAATGAGGCCTGGTCCACACTGCTGCGAACAGTGTACAGCGTCCTACACACCAGCCCTGCCATCTTGCTGAAGGAGATCATACTAGTAGATGACGCCAGCACTGATGGTGAGGCCAGTGGGGCCCTGAGGAGGGCCTGGGGTCCCGTGGGCACTCTGGGGAGGAGGGAAGGTTCTTACAAAGGATTGGGCCTGTTGCCTGTGTCACACTTACCATAAAGGCCAGAAGGAAGAAGGCAGGCAGGGGACAGGCAGCAAGCCTGGACTTGATTCACACTTCACCCAAGGAGATCCAAGAACTTACCGGCTTTGGTCTTCCTGAGAGCTGCCAAGTCCAACTTCAAGTGAGAAATGCTGGGGAGGTCAAGTCAGAAGGCAAGGCCTTCTCCTGTGTCCTCCCTACCAGTCCGCTCTTATGCTCCTGCTGGCTCCACTTAAGAGTCCCTTTTTGCTGTGGTTGTTAATAAGTAAGGCTGCTCCCCCAACTTCCACCTGTCAGTCAGGACTGAGTTGCACCTGGCATGACCCAGGCACAAGGAGTGCCGTGACAAATAGACACACTGCCCTGAAAAGGCTGCCAACCCTGACAGGTCACTGGTGTGGCCATAACACACATCCCTCCCATATGAAAGGGCATGGACTTGAGAGTCCACCACCAGGAATACAAGTCCCGGCTCCGACTCCTTCTAGCTTTGTGACCTTGGGCAAGCACTTAGTCTTTCTCTTTTGAAAACTGAGGACAGTTGACTTCTTTATATGGCACATGAAGGGTCTGAGATAGGTGATCAATGAGATAATTTATGTGGCAGAGTAATTGGCATAGAGGAAAAGCGCCATAAGCTTAAGTTCGGTTCTGTTCCCTGTATAGGAACAGTATTCCATGGGAGTATGTAGCCAGAAGGGTTTTTTCCTACTTGGCATGTCTAGGACTGGTCCACAGTCCAGGCCAGATTGAAGCTGGCCCGAAAGGATAAGGGTCTAGGGAAAGAAGAGTGGATGAAGGGTGTTCCTGGAACAGAGACCAACATAAGCAGAGCGCTAGAGGCACGAATGTGTCTGCTGGGGAGTCTGGTGTGGCTGAAGCTTAGGTTTCCGATAGGAAATGAGATTAAATAGATGCTGAATTAGCATTCACACCAGGCTAAACATACTTAGAAAGAAATGAGGAGACTGGGGATGTAGCTTAGTGGTCAAGCACTTGTCACGCATATGTGAGGCTCTGGGTTCAATCCTCAGAGCTGAAAGAAACAAAAGAAAAGAGGAGTCGCTGAAGGTGTTAAAGCCGGAGAATGACCTTGTTTCAGAAAAATGGCTGCTGTGGAGGAGAGTAACTGGCAGGTACAGAGGCAGAGGATGCAGAGAGCAAGTTCTTAGAACCACTTGAGAGTCGGGTGATAGGCCAGAGCTAGGAAGGGGGCTGTGGGACTGCCATACTGATGTACTTGGACTTCCCAGGAGCTGAACCCTGCTCCCAGGTGGCACATGGTGCCTGAGGTACCTGTGCCCAAGCTCCCATATTAAGGGCAGAGACTAACTCCACACTCCCCTGCTGACATCCAGGGCCACTCCTATGCAGCTGCTGCTTCTCCTTACCTTCCCCAGCCTCCTCCTGCCCTGGGGCTCAGGGATGATGCTGGAGAAGAACCAGGACATGAACACTGTTGAGCCCATTACTTCAGGGAGCTCACATTTGCCCAGGGTAGACAGACTCTTGCTGGCATGGTGGTGCAAGCCTGTGATCTCAGCACTCAGGGAGGTTGAGGCAGGAGGATCACCCTGAGTTCAAGGCCAGCCTGGGCTACATAGCAAGATCCTGTTTAAAAAAAAAAAAAGACAGACTCTTGATAGCACTCACAAAGCAAAGGCAAGTATCAGGGATCCAGTGGAAGGATCTCATGAACAAGAAATGTGTACGTCAATCTGGAACTGGAGGGGCAGAGATGAAGCGGGTTGGGAGTGGCCTCAAGGGATTCTGAGTAGCAGTAGAGTGGTTACCGGAGTGCAGCAAGTGTATCAGCTACCTCCTCTCAAACTGGGCCCTTCTGTGCCCTCACTCCCCCCAGCCCTGTACTATCCCTCTTCCCCTGAACCTCAGGTGGTGGGAGTTCTCTGTCGCTTTCACCATCACCCAGAACTTGGTGAGTCCTTAAAGAGCAAGTGCCCATTTGGGCAACTCCTCCGACCAGGGTAGACAAGTGACATTCCAGGCTGGTGCAGGAAGCGTCCACAGGGCAGAGCAGCCTGTGCCTAGCAGAGTAGGATTTGCAGTAACCCAGTCACCCCTCCAAAGGACCTGCTCCTAGCAGCCACCCAGCATGTGTTCATATTCTCTCTAGTTGTCTCCCTCTTGTCACCCTGGATTCCTTCTTAAGGCCAATTCTGGAATCCCTAAATCACCTACCTGCCTGACAAACCTGAACCCGGCCCTCTTATTTTTCTGGGCCCTAGACTGCTTTGAGAATCCACTGAAAGCTACCCTCCTTTCCCTAGAGTAGGGCACACTGGCCCACAACGATATGCAACACCCCATTTTCCCAGGTAATTCCAGGGAATTTTTTTTTTTTTGAGACAGGGTCTCTCTATGTAATTCAGGCTGGCCTCAAACTTGCAGCTATCCTCCTGCCTCAGCCTCTGGAGTGCTAGGATTAAAGGTGTGCACCACCACGCCCAGCAATTCCAGGGAATTTATGCATTCTAGAATAAAAAACCCTCCCAGGAGAATTCTCAGACTCTAGAGATACTTTAAGTGCTGTTCAGTTCAGTAGGGAAAGGAAAACACCCTCAGATCCATGGTCAGAAATCTCTTCAGCCCACAGCAAGATACAGTTTCCTACCCAGTTGACCATCTGATCAGATAACTGGCTCTCCTTATACACACACAAACAAGAGCTGTGTCTCTGCTGAAATCCCAAGTCCCTGCTTTCTGCTCTCCCATCAGGCCCCCTGCAGCAGCCCAGTGACTGTGAGGATATGGGCATTTGATGCTGGGGCCAAGGGGAGGGGGCCCAGTGCCAGGCTGGGGACTTAGGGTTTCCCACCACAAGTCAGACCCAGGGCATAGGTTTCACTCCTGAATGGTCTCTGTCTTCTTAGAGCTAACGTTTTTAGTTGGAAAGACAGAAAATAAGTAATTTAAAATAATAAAACAGTGGACCTTTGACTTAGGAACTCATTTAGTTCGAGAGGGCTGGTTGTAACTCAAGTGGGTCAGTTGAAGGCCCAGGCTCTTCTACACAGCCTTCAAAGTCTCTCTCCTGTACACAGGTATATCTCAAAGTCCTTAGAGAGATATTGGCCCAGGATTTCTCAATTAACCCACACTGGAAAGGTTGTAATGTTCCTTCCAGAACTCTTTGAGGATTAAATCTGTATCTGAGACCTCTGGAAGCACAAGCAGCCAGCATTCAGGTCGTAACTCAAGACTTTAGTCCGAAGTTAAAACTAAAATTCCAGTCATAACCCAAGTTGTTTGTAGGTCAGGGTGGTCATAACTTGAGGGTCCACTGTAATTGCTATGGAAAAATTGAAGGTAAACAAAAGACAGAATGTGTGTGCTAAGCTAGTGAGTAATTAGGGAGCTCCTTTAGCAAAGTAGCCACTTTGTTCTTCACAGAGGAACAACCGGTGCAAAGGCCCCAGGGCTTGGTGTATTAATGGGGTGGGGGAAAAAAAGCTAGCATTGCTGAAAGGAAGTAGGCAAGGAAACAGAAAGAATACTGCTACCAAATGAGTTTAGAGAGACGAGTGGAATGGAATCATGGGAATTTTGTAAGCAATAGGCTGTGTTTGGATTTTTCACATGTGGCATAAAATACACATCATATAAAGTTTACCATCCTCTCCAAGTGCGCAGTTCCTCCTAAATACATCCATTATTGTGCAAGCATCACTGCTGTCCATCTGCAGAGCAGTTTCATCTTTCTGTATTGAAATGCCATTTCTGCTAAACCGCAGCCCGGGGTCCTCCCCTGGCCTGGCATTCTGCACTCTCCTTTCTGTCTCTGTGAATTTGATTACTTTGGGTCCCTCATAGAGGTGGAATCAGACAGTATTTGTCCTTTTGGGACTGGCTTCTTTCACAGTTATCTTCAAGACTCATCAGTGTTATAGCATCTGTCAGAATTTCCTTCCTTTTTAAAGCTGAATAATGTTCTATTGTATTTTGCCACATTTTGCTTATCCATTCATCTATTAATGGACATTTAGATTGTTTTCACTTGTGGCTCTTATGAATAATATTGCTATGAAG